CGACGGTAGCTGCTCCGTGACTGCCCCCCTCCGGCAGCGCCTGGCCCTGCCTCTGCGCGCGGAAGCGAGTCAGGGCGGCACAGGGCGAGCGGGAGAGGAGGGTTGGTAGCCACGGCGGCGCCTGGCGCGGCGGGAGGGACGCGTCCGTGCTCTGGGCAGCGGCGGTGCCGGCAAGAGCACGGAATTCAGACAAAATAGAGCTAAAACCGAACCTAAATTCTGCCCCAAACATCGTATTCATACTTAAAGTCGGCCGAGCTTTCGGCAGGGTCAGTGTTTCAGGGATCAGGAAAGCGCAGGCCGCAGGTTTTCTTGGGGAACAGCCCCCCCGCCTCCCCGGGGGAAGCCGTTAAACTATGCGCTTTTTCAAATCCCAGCTCTCCTTCCCAAGCCTGAAATTTTCATCAGAACTATTAAACTCTTCAGTAAAACACAGAAATCTCTTTTAATTTAATCATTTATGTTTTCAGGTCTTTCTGGCCTAAGTAGCTGGGACAGCATTCACTAAATCTTTGTAGTCTGCAGGGTGCACAGAGTTATCGGGTGGCCTCTGGTGAGTGGAAAAGAATCTTGTTAAGGAAGAAAACAAGTTCATTTTATTAAGGGTAAAGAGAAATTCTGTATTGATGAAATGCCTGTGCGTATTATTCTAATATTCCATTGTGGCAGCATTTTTAACCCCTCTAGTTGATCAACAAGTCGTAGCAACTTTCAGCTCTCTTTACCATATGACCCTTTGTGTCCAACCAGTCATTAAATCCTTTGCATTAAACCTTCGGCCATCATGTCAGCAGTAGAGTGGATGGTAGTTCAAATCTGGACTTAAAATGCAGAAGTGGCACATGCCTAAGTTACAATTTACAACTCTTTCTTCCCCAATTTTAACCACATTAGTGCCTTTAAGCTTACCTTCTTCAAGCTGGTAGGGTATATGATACTGGCCAGTGTAAGCAAAATATATCAGGAAAATATGAAGGCTTGGTGTGGCTCTCCAGTAGGTATATAATTAAAGTGCTGCAATAAACTACATGAGCTATGCTATCATATTCAGCTCTTCCATGTCCTCCCTCTCAGAAAGGCAGGGTAAAAAAGCTTCCACTTTTAACTTAAAAAAAATAGTTTATTGTAAAAGTAAGCTCATTTTCCCCTTGACAAATTATTTTGGCATATTAAAAAAGTGCCAGCATAGTACTGAGGATATGAGAAATGCCAGTATATTCAATTTGTCTGAACAAAGAAAAATTAATGAAAAAAACAGACGAAGGAAACAAGAAATGGGGCCCTTTGGTTTTCAAGTGCATTTGTAATTCCCACTCTTTACTTTCCAAACATGTAACCATTGTTGTTATTCTTCTGTAATAAATATAAATTAAATGTCATATAAAACTTTCTAAATTAGCATTCACATTCAAAAGACCATGGCAGGATTAATGTATATAATTTTCCCATTTCGGTCTTTCATGGTAGGCTTTTTTAAATTAGATGAAAGCTTTTGAAATGAGTTGCTATATATTGCCAGTGAATAATTTAATTCCTGTCTGGATCTATCTATTCAGCCATTTAAATTGCCAACAAACTTTACATGTATACCATCTTCTCAACATTGAGAGAGAATTGAGAGAGCATTGAGAGAGAAATAATAAAGCAATAATTTTGTTCTTACTCAGTGTTTCAGCATGGGCTACATAACAGCTTACCAGTAAACATGAGTTGAAGGCAGGCCATTATATTTTCAACAGAAAAGAAAAAAAATGAATAATTTGTTGTAAACTAAATTAAATTAAATCTCTCTTGGCCTTCTTGGTGGTTTTGGTGATCAAATTATTAATCCTCATCTATTTGTTAATATGTTAGGTCTTCTTCACCTCAGAAATACCCATGTCTTAAGTAGTTCTTAATCTTTTGTACAAAGGAAGATGTTATTATTAGCTTCTGACTGTGATCAAGGTCAAGAATTAGTGCCAACAGGCACTGGACAAACATACTGGAAAAAAAAGTATCTGCTCCAAAGAAGTTATTGTCTAGATAACAGAGGAAATTAGGACATTTTACAGGTGGAAACTGAAGACAGTAATAGATGTAACCCCAAATCACAGAAGTTTATGGCAAAAGGAAGAGCATGTTTAGAGTGGGTGGGAGGAGCAGAAAAAAATACTAGATTCTTTTGAACATGGTTTTATTTTGGTAAAACAGTTTTGTAACTTTTAAATGCTTAGAAAATATATTGTCTTTTTTTCCAAAGTTCTCTTAAGAGAATACAAAGTAAATACTGCAAAATTGAAACCATCCAGCTTTTGTACTGTTGAACTATCCAGCATATGACATTTCTATCTTTTCTCCCATTTTAAAATTACTTCATAAAAATTATTCCCTTACACTTTTACAGTTATTTTGAAAAAGCCAAACAGAAAAAAACTAATGCTTTTCAGTTTTTCTTTAGCTGAACATTTCAAAATGCATTTATTTTCTTAATCAGTTCTTTGATTTATTTCAGTGCTGCCCTAGTTCTTTTCCTCAGCTGTGAGTGCCTGACTCTCACCACAAAAATGGTTCAGCTGGTTATAAACAGCAAGTTACAGAGATGTGGAAAACATAATGGATTGTTTTACGGAAAACTGAATGGATGCCACTGTGTCTTAAAAAATCAGGCAGTATTTGGGGTAAACATGTATCTATTTCTGAAACAACTGATGCACCACCAGGGAGGTCTAGAGCTTCCATGGCAGGAGCGAAACTGTTAAGAGCAGGAGCTTTGGCATGTAGCACAAAGTTTGGCCTACGGGAAAATTAGCCTGGCACAACCAGAAGGCACAAAAGTCTGTGGACTACAAAAACACACGGTGAAAGCCACGGCCACCCTGGATCTTCCCTGTGCACTGCAGGGCCTTTAGAGGATGTGTTTCCTGGTGACTGGCCATTTTGCCATGCCACCTCATAAAGCTGCTCCTAACCAGCAGGTAGCTGCTGTGCCAGCGGATTCCTGACACAGAGACGAAGAGTAGTCTCAGATATACTATGTCTGCAATAAAGTTTACTGCTGCTCCAGGAGGGTGGCCCAGACTGTTGTATTGATGCTAAATACAGACTCTAAAGCCTTAGTATGGACCCGTGTGTTTCCTTTAAGCTGATGTTCGCTTCTTACCGAGCCTAGCCTATGATTAGTAGCTTCCTGAGGAATCAACCTTCCTGAGGAATCAACCTTCCTGAATGAAAATGTGACTTGTGATTCATGTTTTGCATACCTGTTGTATGCTATAAAATGTGTAGCAGTACTTCACCGAAAATAAATGTAGGGATGGACATAATGGCTCAGCACCATCAGACACAGCCATGATATAGGGTCTAGATCTGCTTATTTTAGAAAATATTTCTTAGATGCTTGGCTGTGCACTGGTGTTTGTCCTATGGATTATTAACATTTCAACCAAAAAATAAACTATGCCCCCTAGCATTTTCATTAAAAGCTGAGGTTTGGCTAGAGTGTAAACTACCTAGTCTAAAATTATATTACAGGAGAAATCACTGTGTAATAGATTTGACTGAGAAGAAAATCAAGGCTGTTTATATATGTTTAGATTTCAAGAAGCTAGGTAATACTTGGATGATTGACACTTATCCATTTCCATGCATTAAGGAAATATTTTCAGAACTTCATGACTCTTCTCAAGATCTGCAGAATGTGTATCACCAAATGACATTGTTTAAACACAGCAGGGATATCTTCACATGTATTAACAGTGGATTTTCTGTTTAAACATAGGTCCTTTCAACTTGGTTGGGATCCTGCTGTCATGCTGAGAGTGGAGCCAATGGCTGTCATTAATCTACTTGGGATTCAGAGCTCTGTGGCTGCTGTTGCTTGGTGAAGGGCTCCTGGGTTAAAAAAAAAAAAAAAAAAAAAAGTCTGTATTTGTCTTCTGGAATATCCCATTCCTAATAACTGTAGTATCATTTGAGGCATAAAATTCTTTATCTAAGACACTTCCATCAACTTCAAGTGAATCCTTTAGAGAGTTAGATATTTGTGTCATTAGATTAGAATGTTTTTGGTTTTGATATTTTTGCATACTCTCCTTGTTCTCATTGGTAATAGAGGGTGTGGTGTGAAACATATTACCATTGTCAAGCAACTGCTTATAGGTCCTTCTGAGGACATGTTGGTTCTCATGTCTTTAAAAATCTGTGAAAATACCCTTACAGATGACACCAGTTAGGGATTATCCTCAATATTTAGCAGGAGCAATCTTACTTTCCCAGAAGACTTTTTTTTTTTTTTTACCTTCCAGATGTGATTGGAGGTAATGATTGCCAACCAAATTAAACTGAACTCCTTAGGGCAGGGTTCAGTTCTACTTAATTTAAAACTGTGAGCTTTGCCAAAAAAGAAAACGTGTCTGTTGTGGAGAATGATCCACACAGTCACCACAGATACTTTCTATGACGACACCTATGTTTCTGCCTGTGCTTCTGCTGCACTGACTAGGAGAGAAATACAGAAGGACTTAGATTTTTAATGACTTGTATTACTTTTTCTGAAACATTGCAGCAAAAGGAAAAAGGATGGCCAGGGAGAAGTGAGCTATGGTCTAAAGGTCAGAATTACTACAGGTTGATCAGAGTCAGTGACCTCTATTTTATGAGGTTGTCTGATTTCTTTAGTAACTTTCACTTCACTGTAGCTTGCACACTGAGAATTTGGGCATAAACCCCAGTTTTTGCTTGCTTTCCGATGGCAATAATGTATTTGCTGTGTTTATGACCTTCAATGAGGGGTCACTGAATATAGTGAAGAAACCACTGATGTCTAAAGAAGAGATTAAAATGCTTTCAATGAAGTAGATTTTCATCTGGCTGACTGAAATGGAAAATCAAACACATTTACTACTCAAAATCTACATTTTCTTGACTCTTCTTATTAGATCAATTAAACATTTTGTTATACTAATTTTTTTTAATGCAGTCATGATGTCAGATGGGCCTCTGCCAGGGCCTCAGCCTGGTTAAAGGTGCTAAAGAAAGAGTCAACTCACAAGGATGATGAAACACACAGAAATGGTAGTGCATGGCATTTCTTTCCCACAGCCTTGCCCTCAGAGGGTCTGAAGAGTACCTGAGCAGCTCAGCCCAATGTCCCCATTCAGCTTCTGAGAACGTCTGTTTGGAATCCATCCTTTGCAAAGCAGAACATCTGGGAAATTCTCTACCTTAGAAGTGTCTGTCTAGTTTATCCATACTTTAGAAGAGTTCCTGAGAGCCTGTATTTTCTGATTCATTATCAGCTGAATCCTGAGAACACAAATTGCTGCCAGAAACCTGCACAAAATTTTCCAGTCAGGACTTTCATATTCAGGTTGGCAAATGGGGTTCTCCTTCTTTTTCATTTTTCCCTGGATTCTCAAGTTTGGTTCCCTTCCTCCTTTCTCCTCTTCTGTCACTGATTTTCTACCAGGAGGGAAAGGAGAGGTCTTCCAAGTTATTTATAACCTCTTGAGGATATGCATTATCTCTACTTTCCTTACATACTCCTGATCCCCCGAGTCAGTTCCTGATCCTGCTTCTGTGGAAGGGCAGGGGAGAATTTTATACAGGAAAGTGCAGGAGGTTCTCCGGGAGGCCTGAACCTCACAGTAGCTTCAAGGAAAGTAAAGGCTCATGTGCAACTCCCTTTTCCTCCTTCAATCTCACTCCTGATGGGGATAAGCTGAAGCTGGGCAAATAAACTTTCTCCTCTATACCAGGGTCCTATTGTTCAGGGCTGTGGGAAAAAACAGCCAGAGCTGTACAGATGCAAAGCATGGTAGAAAGGATTATGGTGAATAGCATGGCCAAGATGAGTCTGGCAAGTCAGGAGGGATGTGTGTACAGGTGACTGAGAGGAGAGGGGGAGAGAGACTAGAAGAAGTCAAGAACTG